ACGAGGAGTAATGGTCCCAAGTTGCAGTGGGAGAGATTTAGGTTGGATATTAGGAAAAAGTTTTTTCACTAGGAGGGTGGTGAAACACTGGAACGCGTTACCTAGGGAGGTGGTGGAATCCCCTTCCTTAGAAGTTTTTAAGGTCAGGCTTGACAAAGCCCTGGCTGGGATGATTTAGTTGGGGATTGGTCCTGCTCTGGGCAGGGGGTTGGACTGGATGACCTCTAGAGGTCCCTTCCAACTCTGATATTCTATGATTCTATGATTCCCACCGCCTTTGGACTCCACCATCCCGTTTGGTTCTCATGAAGCCTGGTGTTGTCTGAACCTGGGGATATTCTGAACAAAAGGAGCTCTTAACCACACCTGTAGCTGTTTCCATCGCTTCACTGCAATGCAGCAGACATCCTAGGCTTCAGAATGACACAGTGACAGTCCTGGAAGATGTGTGTTGATTTGTGCAGGTGGCAAAGGAGGTGGGCGTGCTGCAGTGGGGGACCTATGCTTGTTTGGCATTATTTCAGTTGTGGTGATTTGTGTCTAGGTGAGTTGTGCTGGGACATTTGTGTTGATTTGCGTGGGTGGCAAATTGAGAGGCTTTTGCTGCAGGGAGGAGCTTCGTGCATTTGCGACAATCTTGTGCACTGGTTGTGGTCTGAGTTTTTAAAGAACTGTAGCAATTGGGCCAAGTAATCCAACATCTGTGCAGTCTCCCTCGTACAACCAATTAAATCGCTGCATCCAAATTAGCTGTACAGCCAGGGTGGTCATTGGTTGAGTTACTTCTGATATCCCAAAGATCTAGGACTCTTGGCATAGCATAGATACATTCATGCAACAGCATGGCATGTCACTCATGAAGTCAAAATGGCCGAGAATTTAAAAATTAGATGGTAACAGACCATGTATCTCAGCTATGACTCAACCTGCTGATATTCTGCACAGAAAAAGCTCTCACCCATGCTTGTAGCTGCTTCACACTGACTGCACGAGTGGAATCTTATTCTGTAGGTAATACAGCTGGCGAATTCTGCACCCGTGTGTACAGTGGGACATGCCCCAGCTCTAATTTAGAAGGGGTTTTAAAGCACAGAATGTATTTGGCAAGATGGAAATTTGAACAACTGGACATTTTCTACTAGAGGCTCAGTACCAAGCCAATGGCAGACATTCGTATGAAAGGTTGCTAATACAACAAACATAGTTCCGGGTGGAGTTATTTCCTGCTGTTTATTTGCTTTCCAATGTAGCCCCTGCATCCCCCAGTGGCAGCTACCATGTCTCTCCCATTTTCCTTCCACTCTATTTTTATGATGTCCCAAAAGAGCTTCCCCCTTCCTGTGCCTGATCTCAAGACAAGGCATGTGGCAGAATGCCTGATTGGAGCCGGTGGGACAAGCCAATTTGAAGCTGTCTCATCCACCCAGTCTGGCCCACCTATACCTCCCCCACCCACTATCTTTACATCTTTAGGGCTTTATAGTACCAACAAGCACCATAATATCTGAGCACTTTCCACAATAAAGTGGTAGCAATTGCGGAGTCCCGACTGGCTTCTCTCTCTTGGTTTCCATGTTCATTACGCCCAATATTCTTCATAGTAAAATTTTTATGATGTGAGTATGGCATAATTATGATGTATTTTGTGCAAGATAAGGCATGTGAGATATCACTGGAAAGGTTCTAATTTAGTGAATATGATTATCATATTTGTATGCATGTATCATTTTGTATCTGAAGTCAGGAATATTGTCTATGCATCTATAACAAATGTGTTTACCCCTGGGGAATTCCCACTAGACAGAATACAATCAGTCTAGATTGCTGGCTGGAAAGGGCCATTCGGAAGAACAATAGGTCTTAGAAGATGCTAATCTCTCACCGGGGAGCCTTCCTGGGGACACTACAAACAGCCTCGGAAGTATGGCTGCAAGGTCATGTGATCAAGTCACCTGATGCTGGACTCCATGATAATATTAGTATTTTTCCACTGAGCAGGGTTAGGAACCACAATGGAAGACAAAGAATTCCTGCCATATGTAAAACCTATTTAAGGCAGAGGAGGGACATAATCATGGCTTGTTCTTAACTGAATCCCCGCCTCAGATGTTTCTTAGATGTTTACAGCAGTCAAAGACTGAATGAGGGGAGAAGGATTGAGCCCAGGCTGGAAGGTTGTCCAGCTAGTGAATGGAGTATCTGAAGGTGTAAGCTGCCAGTAAGTGCAGCTGGCCTTCAAGAATCTCTGTAATCTGCCTAAAACAACATTTAGGGTGAGAAAGTACTACTTGTAACTAGATTCTTTAGTATCTTAAGCTTAGACTGCGTAAGTAGTTTGTTTCATTTGCTGAGTAGTCTGCTTTGATCTATTTGATATCCCTTATAATCACTTAAAATTTATCTTTTGTAGTTAATAAACTTGTTTTGTTTGGTCTAAAACCAGTGTGTATGGAAGTTATACCCTGGGGCAGAAAACTGTGCATATCCCTCTCCACATTGAGGGACGGGGCGAATTTCATGAGCTTGCACTGTATAGTTCTCTGTGCAACGCAAGACGTTACAATTTTGGGTTTACCCTCTAGAGGGGGGTGTGCACTTGAGTATTGGGCAATTCATTAGCTGAGCCTTCCCATACAGAGCTGATCTCAGCATGTGTGTGAAGCTGCAGCTGGGTGTGTCCCTAGCTGTGTGTGTGTGCGCGCGCTGGAGGGGGCTTGAGAGCCTGTCACAGCAGTGCAGTGTAAAGGGAGCACAGGCTGGTGGGTTAGGTGGGCTCAGTAGGACCCCAGTTTCAAGCAGCGCCCTGGGTAGAACCCGTCACAAACCCCTTCTCTCACATACGTCTTTCTCCCAGCAGGCAACGAATACTGCCTCTGCGGTACGCTACTTACCCCTCAGAGCCCCCAGTTTACCAGTCCCCAGCATATGTCCCCTGATCTCCTAGCACAGGGCTGTTTATAGACAAGTGCCCGGAGAAAAGAAAGAGGCATTTCACGGACCAGCACGATGCTGACAATAATTTGCAAGCACATTGAAACACACGTGCTATTTTTAACTTAATGCCATTTATTTATAGCCAGCTTCCTTCCGGCTTTTAACTGCTCCATATATTTTCATTTTCTCAACACGTTGGTAATTTTTCTTCTGCCGTCCCCCATGGGAATTGGCTTTAGAAGGGAAACCTGACCCGAGGGCAAGAGGTTGAAGCTGGGAAATGGCGAAGGTGCACACGGTGGAGCAGTCCACAAGGCTCCAGAGTATTTAACTAAGACAGGGGACAGGATGGTGGGAATGGTAAATCAGCATGATGTCATACCAGGAGAGGATGTCATACCAGGCTTGCGGCATGAAGCCACCTGAAATCAATGGAAGTTTAGTGCACTCAGCACTGCGGAAGACCAGGCCCCTAAACTCACAAAGACCCTTTAAGGATGGAAGTTAGGCAGACTCATTATGAAAGGGCCTGATATGAAAGGTGGTCTCTTGCGGACAAGGATTCTGCCTCTGATGACCCTGGCAGTGACCCCACATCCTCTGGCTACTCTTTTCTGCAGCAGCACCGTGAATTCACTTAGCAAACAGGCGGGAGATGAATGAACAAATGATTAAGGAAAGTCTACAGTTTGAACTCCAAACCTTGATCCTGTCTTTAGGACCCTCACATTATTTTAGCTTGTTCAGCTACAAATTAAGTTGTGACTTGGGAGCAGCTTCGTGTCTGATTGCATGTTTCAGTTGCACACATTTGGAAAGCAGTCTTTGGCGCCTCTAAGGTGGTTGATCACATCGCATTTGTCAGGTTTCCTCCCCTTTTCTGCTTCCCTAATCCCATTTTAGGCTTATTTAGGCAGTTATGCGAAAAAGGACTTGGGGTGACAGTGGACGAGAAGCTGGATATGAGTCAACAGTGTGCCCTTGTTGCCAAGAAGGCCAATGGCATTTTGGGATGTATAAGTAGGGGCATTGCCAGCAGACTGAGGGACGTGATCGTTCCCCTCTATTCAACATTGGTGAGGCCTCATCTGGAGTACTGTGTCCAGTTTTGGGCCCTACACTACAAGAAGGATGTGGATAAATTGGAGAGAGTCCAGCGAAGGGCAACAAAAATGATTAGGGGTCTGGAACACATGACTTATGAGGAGAGGCTGAGGGAACTGGGATTGTTTAGTCTGCAGAAGAGAAGAATGAAGGGGGATTTGTTAGCTGCTTTCAACTACCTGAGAGGTGGTTCCAAAGAGGATGGTTCTAGACTATTCTCAGTGGTAGAAGATGACAGGACAAGGAGTAATGGTTTCAAGTTGCAGTGGGGGAGGTTTAGGTTGGATATTAGGAAAAACTTTTTCACTAGGAGGGTGGTGAAGCGCTGGAATGCGTTACCTAGGGAGGTGGTGGAATCTTCTTCCTTAGAAGTTTTTAAGGTCAGGCTTGACAAAGCCCTGGCTGGGATGATTTAATTGGGGATTGGTCCTGCTTTGAGCAGGGGGTTGGACTAGACCTCCAGAGGTCCCTTCCAACCCTGATATTCTATGATACTATGATTAGGTAGACTCGGGAAGTTTCAATTGGACTATTTGCAAATTATAAACCACACTTTAAAAAAAAAAAAAAACACCTTGCAAATGAATCCACTGCTTTATTTTTCCAGTATCACAGTCTCAATAAGTGACACAGGCCAGATTCCTTCCATGACATTACCCACCCCTTCTCAATCCCTCTGGACACAATACAATCGAGTCAAAATATAAACTAATATTTTGCTACTTCTATTAAGTTGGAAGAACATAATCATTGCTATTATAAGCTAAGCACCAAAAGAAGCCAAGGATGGAACGAACTGAAATGTGAAATCTCACACCTTCCAGCTCTTACAGAAGCAACAAAAAGTGGACACTTGACAAGGAAAATGTACTTAGCAAGTCTTTTGACTCACATCAAGAAAAATAATTAAGTTCAATAGCCTTATGCATCGCTGGAGAAGAACACAGATGGATGCAGGTGGATAACAAAAGACTACGGTTTATTGAACAAGATGGACAAGGCGATATTCTCTTTACATTCAATGAGTTCAGGAAAAAAGAAGCAAATCATGCTATACACACAAACGTGATACTTTGGTTAAATATCATTCAGAAGTTCTATGTTAAACCTGATAAAACTAGAGGACGAACAGTCAAAAAATAACAGGGTTGCATAGATGGATTATTGTCAGTGTCCAATTTACATTTATGGGCTAGCTGTTAGAGCACAGGGTATATTTGCAGCTCTGAGGGATTTAGCCACTTGACTAATTAATTTTACTCTATGGCTAATATCTCCTTGCCCCATGCTGAAAGTTTACCCTGAAGAGCTACATTAGTTACTTCTTTGAGGTGGTTAGCTGTATTGCAGTGCATAAACACAGTTGGAGACGCAGCAGAATCGACTTAAGGAGAACACTGATACAGTGAAACGGCTTATTGGGACAGAGACAGGACTGTAGTTAAGGGGGCAGGGTTTGTCTCCACCACTGCCCTTTGCTGGATAGAGTCTGAACTGCGTCTTATTATAGACCCTGTGCTGCTAAAAGGTAATGGAGAGACATTTCTAGCTCAAGAGGCAAGGCCCTGTGCTTTCAGCGCAGGAGGTGCTGAGTTCTAGGCCTGCTGTAGCCATTGTGTGCAGCATAGTGACAACGACCGTGAAATTATTAGAGAACCACAAGGTCTGTTACAGCATCATCTTAAAAAATAAACTGTGCAACTGCTACTTATAGTGATTAAAAATATCTTCTCCACAGAAGCAACCAGCTATCGAGTGATATATACAGCTCCAAGCTGCACTGCCAAACCTCCCATCAGAATCAGTGCTGCCCCATAGAGGTCTCTCAAACCAACAACATTAGGGGAAGTCAAGAGAGCTTTGGAACCCGGGAGACAAGGGCCAAGAACTGTCCCCTGCACTGGCAGATGGGAAAAATTCAACTGCAGGTCTGGGCAACGATGGGGCAAGTGCAAAATCAAAGGTTGTTCCCCGGTGCTGCAGGATCCCTTCCATAACAACAACTCTGCTTGGATCGAGCTTCCCAGGGGGCAAGGCCTGTGGGACAACCCACTTCTATCTAGGCCTAAATATTGTGCCCATCCCTGTCGTATCTCAGCACAGCCACACTGGCTCTCCAAGGCTCACAGCACTGAGAACCTGCTCAGGGCGGCAGATGCCCGGGAGGATATGCTGCATAAGAAGGCCACTTTTGATTATTTTACTGATTGGCCATGCTGGGATACAAGAGGACACGGTAAGGCTGGGCATTCTGCAGCCTTAAAATAAAATCACTGTATCTGTACTGCCTCCAAAACATTCCCACGCACGGAAATCATCAATTTGAAATCCACAGTTAGCTTGCATACAGGCTAATCTTAATCAAACATTAAATCCCGAAAAAAGAATAAAAATACGTACATACATCAATCCAGTGTGGCAAGTTGAATGAATACCCTACGCTGGAACAGCTGGTCTAATTTGGCACAAAATGAAAATCACAAAGTTGAGGGCTATTAAAAAAAATCCATTTTTTCCTGTATTAAAGATGAATTGTCCCAATTCCCATCTTAAAAGCCTGCCTTGCTGCAATATAAAAATACTGTACATACAAGATCCCTTTGTGGAGCTAAGCAGCTTCAGCTGTTGTAGATTCTACCCTCCCTCCCCATGAGGGAAGCCAAATGATAAAAAATAACCTACCAATTAAAACACGATTTTTCACTCAAGAAAGTCCTTTAAAAACCATGAGGTTAACCTGCTGCCTCTGTCTCCCATTGGCATCCTCCATTCTCCTCATTGTACAGTACGTGTCTTAAGATGGCAGGCTGGGTTTATTTTATAGCACACTGACTCTGATCAGAATGGCTATGGTGTCAACTACCCCGGGATTAAGGCACGATCACTCCGTTTGCCTAACCGCACTCCTCAAAGATGGCTACAACTGTTGTGCTTTGGACGGAAGACCAAGTGGTGGCAAGAGCATCAACCAAGACTGGGTATGGAAATTCGTTTGCTTCCCACTCTTGTTGTACGAAGTGAGCTGTGTAAATCAAAGCTTTGGGAAGCATTAGTAACGTGTGCCTGCCGGCTATGGAAACTCGGGAAGCAACGTGCTTCACTACCATGGACTTTCTGTTACTTGTCATAAAGCACACAGGAAGAAATGCAACAGAGGTGGGAACGACACCGGCAGGTTTCCCCGGCCTTTTGCCATATACGTTTTAATTCAGAGCAAGGCAATAGGCCAAGCTACTTAAACGGGGCAACAGAAAGGTTGGTTCCCTGGCTTTCCATCAGGGAAAGAGCACATAGCCTTGGTTGGGTCTTATTAGAATCATCACGGACACCAACCAAGCAGCTGAAGCTCTGGCTCTAAGGGCCAATGTTATGCCTGGCGTAAGCAGCGGCCACTGTACTGATATCAGCAGAGTCATTCATGGCTGCTTAGGCCTGTGGTGAATCAGGTCCTCGATCTTCCACCTATTTAGGACCTGATCCTTGCTCAACAAAAGATGCCTATTGACTTCAACAGGAGCAGGGATGGATTCTTAGGGCCTGATCCAGTTCCCATTCAAGTCAATGGGAGCTTTGCCACCTAACTAAGCATGTTATGTCCCATTGACTTCAATGGGACTTGAGCACCCTTCTTGAATAGGGATGTTTTCCAGAATCAGGCCCGGAAACAGGAGCAGGATGGGGCTCCTAAAGACTTTCCTAATGGGGATAAGATGGAAACTGCAGCCTCCAGTCAGGGCGTGGGAGGGGAAATCATCATAAACTGCCAAACCCCGACAGTAGCTGAGCTCCAGGGGTTGGATTCTCCTCCCCACCTTGTGACATCATTTATACTTGCACAAAGCCAGTGTAAAACGCAACCATATTCTGATTTGGCAACTACCGGATGACCCGAGGGGCAGGACCTGGTCTTGGACCATCTGAGAATTGTCACCCCGGCCCCTGTTCCGTTTCACAATACATACAGGTTGGGGGGATGCAGGAAAGGAAGTGACATTCTCAGCAGTAGAAACACTGACTGTTCCATGAAATATAAAAATAAACATTCATAACATAAAAACCTTCCAAATGCCAAGATTATCAAATAAAAAACATACTGTGCATTTTGGGACTGTTTCCTTTAAAACTCCATTAACGCTCCTGACAAGATGGATGTGGGGCAATTAAAAGGGCAGGAGACAAGAGCAGTCAAATCTAGCCACGGCCTGGGCTGTTTCCTGAGAAGAGGAAGAGACAGCTTCAGAATCCCCTGGAGAGAGGCAGAGGGGAAAGCAGGCACGCTCGTCTGCAGTCTGGAGATGTCGGTGTGAGTCCATTCGACAGCGGGGGATACCAACAATGCAGAAAACCCTCACGTTATTTCTAACTCACCGAAGCCTTCTTTTCATTCAGAACAAAGGTGTGTTCTTGACTCATGCTAGCTAACAGAGGCAGTGTGGCCTGACACATAGAGCACTGGACTGGGATTCAGAAAACTGGGTTCCAGTCCCAGCTTAGCCACGGGCCGGTTGGGTGCCCTTAGGCAAGTCACCTCCCCTCTCTATGCTTCAGTTTCCCCATCTGTAAAATGATTTGTAAATTGCTTTGAGATCTACTGATGAAAGGTGCTGCATGGCAGGTATTGTTGTTATAACACAGGGTAACTAATCAGAGGTAAAATCCTAGTGAGGACCAGGGCAATTTGTAGTTTTCACATAAGTTAGAAAGTCAGGGTAAACCCTAGGCTGTTCCATAGCCTTTAACTCGTGGGACAGCTACAGACAGCCCTGTCTTAGCTGGAGTTAAGAACACATTGTTTCCTCCTAGCGAAGATGTGGCCTTGGGGCTGGATTGTAGCCCTTCCTGCAGACTGCTACAAAGGAGCAGAGGGGGCAGAAGCATTCCTTACTCCCTTGTGCCAGTGAAGTGCACCATCGCTTCATGCAAGCAGGCTCTGGAGAGCTGCTGCGTTCCCTACCTCTCCGTGCGCCCCACAGCATCTTGACCCTGGGAGGTGATGCACCAAGTACAGACTCGGTGCAGTTTACTACCTCTCTGGAGTAGCAGCAAATCAAGGAATTTCCCTCCCAGGCTGCTCACCAGTCCACTGCCTCTGATTCCTACCACTGACTTGCGGACTGGCCATCTAGCCCTTATTGGCTGGATAGGCTTAAGAACTTACTGTACATCTACGGTCAGCTTTGCAATTCAAGTGTATTTGCATAGAGATTGACAAAAACGCTGAGGTTGAAAGCACTGGGAGGTGGTTCAGGAGGTACTCATCTCCCATGGGGCGGGGAGCACAAGGATCAGTACAGGAGAGAACCTAAGTGGGTATCTTCAATTGAGGGAGGATTCCTGCACTCTGGGAAGTGATTACTTCATCCTCACATGGCATCTTAAACAGAGACTGAATGCTTTTCTAGAAGACCCACTCTAGTTCAGCCACAAGTGATTGGGCTCAATGGTGTAAAGAATACTAGCTCCCCACATTTTTCCTGGGTGAGGTTCTCTGACCCATGCCATGCATGAAGTCACCCCAGATGATCATAATGGTCCCTTTTGGCCCTATGGCCCACGAATTTATATTCCCCTCTGGCTCCACCAGACAGCTGCATCAAGAAACTGAGAACTTCTCAAAAGCAATACATACAAGACGTACTGCATGAGCTGAAGTTTTATAACCCCTTATTCAGAGGCCTCACTCGGACACAGAAGCATGTTACATGGGTCATTCAAAAGGTGTTTCCTAAGAAGCGACAGCACAGCAGAGACTTGGTAGACAGAACAGGGGGTTCTCCAAAGGGCGTGACGTCCGAGCAGCCTGCTGGTAGATGTACGAAGACGCGTTCACCTTCATGCCAACTACCATGGAAAACAGCAGTTGCTCTGTGTTGATTTGATTCCGGTTTCTCACTCAGGACTCGGGGAGATGTGCAATCCTGGTTACAACAGAAAGCTGTGTGTCATCTGAGTCACGTGTTAATCTCCATCCTATTCCTTGGATTTCTGCATTGCCATAATCCACCTCACACCTCAGACGTTTCCCCCCGTTGTCTGTCTCTCTCTCTCTCTCTCCCAAAGATCAAGCCACTAATTGTCAAAGATGCAGCTGTAGCTAAAATGGGATTTAGAGGGCTGTAAAGGTGTTGTCAGGTCAGCTAGCTGGGTACAGCTGGCCAGCTACACAGTGGCTAGATTTTACTGCACTACTAAAGTGATCACAAACAACCAGGAAACCAGAATGAACATATACTACTTATTGGCATGATATTTAAAAAGGAAGAAGTCCTGAGGATGGAACTCGAGTTGGGTAAAGGAAATGAGAAGCTCTCCTGGGAATTCCAGTAATGTCTGCTACAGAAGAGCGTCAGTATCAATGCAAAGTCTAGCTTTTTACTGCTTGGAATGGAAACCTATAAAACAAAAGGGAAAAATCAGTTAGCACAGAGCAGGGGTTCTCAAACTGGGGGGTCGTGACCCCTCAGGGGGCCGCAAGGTTATAACATGAGGTTTGCGAGCGGTCAGCCTCCACCCCCAAACCCCGCTTCGCCTCCAGCATTTATAACAGTGTTAAATATGAAAAAATGCGTTTTTAATTTGCATGGGGGCAGGGGTGTCACACTCAGGGGCTTGGGCATGAAAGGGGTCATCAGTACAAACGTTTGAGAACCACTGGCATATAGCACAGTGAGGATTGCCGGATCTAAAGCTTTCTTCTAGTTCTTAGCAGCCCCGAGGTTTGTTTAACTGTCTGAGCGTTGGTGCATTCAAACATTCAGAAGTGGGGAACGTGTACTATTAGGGTCAGTAAAAGGTTTGGGAAACACCTGGATAGGTCCACAGAGAAGGCAAACCCTTCAATTGCTCGGTCTGTGAATGGCCCCCTATGGCCCACCTGTGAGAATGGCACTAGGTACTGATTCAACATCTAGTAACCTATACCAAGCGCCCCCAACATTCCCCTCTCTTTCACATACGCTAGCCCCCGCAACCCTTCCTCTCCATTGTCTTGTGCACCTAGCTATGGAAGCTGGAGAACTGAGGGACCCCAGTCCCCAGCAATTTCAGAAAGCACCGTGCTTAGATGCTCTAGTAACAAGGGCTATGGAAAAACCACAAACAGACTGATGAACACGGCAAGTCTAGCGCTGTACAGAAAAGCCTCAGCCTTGTCATCCACCAGCCAGACAACTCTTGGAAGGTTTCCTAGTATGTAGGATTGTTCTATGTAGCAGGATGAGTCAGCTGAAGCCCAAATTGCTTTACTGCCTTCACACCATTCAGTCTCATCCTGTGCCTTGAGTTAGTCACGCGTGAAAATGAAGTTGCCAGACCATTCTGTTCTTGTTCTTTCTTGCGTGTTCTCAAGAGGCAGAATTTAGCTCTTAGATGTAAGCTCTTTGCGGCAGGGACTTGAGAATAGATGGCTTATTGAGCAGAATCATGTGTCTGCAAGGTGTAATGTGATATTCTCTATCTATCCACACCCAGCAGCCACCAGAGAGTAATACTTTTCAGGCTGATTCTTTGAACTGCGTCACCGAAGTAAACAAAGTGCTGAAGCAGTAATGGGCTTCTCTTCTTACCTTTCGGAGAAGACTCCGGTTTAGAAAACTGACGCACGGAGCTAGGCTGGCTTGTAAAACCACGACTGTGATCAAAGTCAGCCAGTTCTGTGACTGGAGGTGGTGGCGGCCTGCCAAGAACAGAAAGGAGACAGTCAGGGAAAAAATTACAGCAACGATGAAGCACCGAAAATAATACCCCGGAGCACAATCCTGCAATTTTGCAGCAAAGGCGTCTGTGTTGTTTGCTATCCTGGCTGAACTTTTGCCTTTTATTCAGAGATTTCATTCACAGATTCCAAGGCCAGAAAGGACCATTGTGATCATCCCCTGCATAGCCCAGGCCAGAGACCTGCCCCACAATAAGTCCCAGAGCAGAGCTTTTAGAAAAGCATCCAGTCCCGATTCTAAAATGGCCAGCGATGGAGAATCCACCACAACCCTTGGTAAGTTGTTTCCAATGGTTAATTACTACCATTGTTAATTTAGGCATTATTTCCAGCCTTTAAGGCTTTTAAATAGTCGCCTTTTAATAGATGTGGTCAGAATTTATTGAATGAAAAATTGTGCCATCTAAAAATAGGCCTTTTCTCACAAACATTCCTCAAGGTTCTCCAAATATGTCGCTTTTATGTAACTGAAAATTTTCATTGGATAATGGTTTCAATGTGTTTTCAGTAAACAAAACATTTCAATTGGGAAATTCGATAAAAACATACCAGGATAAATTCTGCAGTGAAAATAGGTACATTTTGAACCTTGCAAAGTTCTGAAAGTCGAATATTTTTATTGATTCCTCCCCCCACCCCGACCAGCCTTACCTTTTATTCATTTTTAAAAAGTCTTTATTAGTCTCGTCCCAGTAACAGGGCTTAAACCCACCACGTTCAACCCCAGCGTTTGACCTGGTCTTGCGGGTACTGTATCAGTGCGTGGGAAGGGTGTAATATGGGCCTCCACCACTGAAGTGCAATGTGGTGAATCAGTAAGATTCACCCAGTTGCAATGGATTGCCTGTACTCAGGCAGCTGTCTGACTTGAGCGTGTCTATGAGTCGGGGCCGGGGGGGGGCCGGGCACATGTCTCCATTTATTAACGCTGCACAGAGACAACTGTGGCATCCACTTGATTTCAGGCATTCAAAAGCAGCCATTCCAACTCCTGGGCATACTTAACCCGCTCAGAGCCGACTGTCCACTTATCCAGTGTTGCTGCCCAAACTCAGCTGTCTTTGCCACGATAAGATGGGGACCCTGCAGTGGCTAAATGCCACGGACCCATATAAGCAAACACCAGGCCTCAAGGAGCGCCTCACAGGACCCTGCACCTTCCATCCCTGTTCAGTGTTCAAGCCCCTGGACTTCCCCGCCTCCATGTCATCTTCCAGCGTCTGCTCCCTGAGACTCAACCATTTGATGGTTCCCTCGGCAGATCTGCCCAGTTTCACAGACTGGGAGTGCAGCTCACCGCGCAGGTTTGTCACTCTTGAGTCTCTGAGGTTCAAGCCTCTCTCTTGGCCTTGGACGCGCAAATTCACTTGTGTCACGCTGAGGGGGAGAAGAGAAGAGGGCAGGTCACTGGGGAGCCATATACTTTCCTTACAAAACATGGGCCAGATTGTCCAAAGTAGCCCCCTACGACTGCATGAAAGAAGCCGTGACCACACCCGTTCAGCAGGGAGCAAACCTGGGAACTCCAAAACTAAAAGCACCAACTTCGTGAGCCAAGCTCCTTTTGCTGTAAATACGAGGCAGGTTGTTATGCTGTTGGGGCTTGTTACTAGCAGGGGACACAACTATATCCATTAAGCCAGAGGAAATCTGCAGGGTTTCAGACACAATCTGCAGAATTTCTTCAGGGGCTTGGGGCCAAGATGAGATGCTGAGAACTCACAACGTGAGAGGGCTTAAACAGGTGCAGCAGGTCATGGTGCTCAGCACCTTTCAGGATCAAGCCCTTTAACATTTTCCATCCTAGCTACTCTCCTGTTTTAACCCTCCAAGTGCTGGCATCTACAGCCCCTCTTGCAATCTGGACTGACACCACTTCTAGATACCCCACTTCACCTGTGCATCAGCTACCCCATCTGGAAAATGGGACCACCACCACTCGCTTTGTAGAGGTGTTCTGAAGCCAGGCATACCTTCCAGTCTTGGTCCTGCCTTTTCTTTTCAAGAGAGGACTTCTCTCGTTCCTTCGTTTTCTTGTAAGCCTTCTTTTCCTCCGCCATCAACAGGCGAGCTATCTCCTACCAGGAAAAAATACAAGACCCACGCAGAGAGAGCTCTGGCTTTATTTTGATTTCAAGCCAATTGAATTTTCAATGCTTTCCCACTGTGCTTTACAATTACCACTGTTATCAGAGGAGCTAGGGATGGTGCTTTTTGCCCACTTGCCATCACAGGCACTTTGATCCCCCATCCGGCTGGCTGCAGAATGAGATAGCGGCAAAGCCCTTGGGTTTGGAATTCATGGCACATCTTATTAGCTGACCTCACCGTGGCCACATTCTTCAAATGGCCAGACTGAGCGGGAAGCTGGACAAAACGGCCAAACCTGCCCTTCGATTCCATTTGCTTTATGGGCACGCCATGATGCAAAGCGTCAGCAAAGTTAACAACCAATGAAGGGTGAAACCCCGACCCCGCTGACGTCCATGGCAAAGGTTCCATTGACTTTGAAGGGGCCAGGACTTGCCCAGAGAAGAGGCCACACTGCAGGGATGGGGCAGATGAGACACTGCACGTATCGCCCATCACTGTTTGTTTCTGACTTGGTGGCAGACCAGTCTGGATCGGGACACCCCCTTTCTGCCCTTTGTTTCTTTCTCTCCACCGGGTGGGGTTTCTCGGACAGTCCCCCTCAGGGCTACTAGAGTCACTCTTACGTGGCCACCATCAGGAGCTGGCAAAGGAAGAAAAGGACTGCCCTGAAGTCGCGAGAGAGTGAAAAGAGGTGACAAGCAGGCGGAGCCCTGCAAGGATGGAGGGACGGGGGGAAAGTGCCAGAGGCAGGCCGACATTTCTCATGAACCATGATTCTCAGCAGTTTGGTTCAAATGATTAAACTCTTAGAGGGACAGGGGCTCACCTCATCCTGGGCTACTTGTGCTGCCCGCTTATCAACCTGGTTGGCCTAGAGAATGGAAAGCAGTACATTTGAGACATCTCGAGTCAATCAAACAATAGCAAAACCATGCTGCTCGGGGCCTGCCTAGACGCACACTGCTCTCTGCTCCCCAAGCACATCAACCCTCTCCGCGTTTGTCTCATGAGCCAGGTTAAAGTGACCAGCTTTGTTTTTAAAACCCTCCAGACTACCCCACCCCCGGCCCTCCCCCAACCACAACTCATCCTGCTCCCCTCCCTGTCCAATCCAGTCTCCTGCATAGCTTTTCCCAGCATCAGCGAGACAGACTCCTCCACTGCACCTCCCATCTTCCCATGCTGCCCTTCTTGCATCTGTCTCCTTCCTTGGCCCTGTTGCTGATCACACCTCAGCTCTCCACCTGCCTGAGCCGCCTAAGGTGTGTCTGCCTCTGTCCTTACCAGACTCTACCCAGTGCTCTGGGAAAGACTGAGTGTGCGTGAAAGAAATGATAAAAATCAAGTTGCATTTACTGAAAACTACACGAGGTCACCGTCACAATGCATGGAATAGGATCCAAAGCATTTAGGGATGGGTTTTTAAAGATATTTAAACACCTAACTCCCGTTGCACCTAAATACCTTTAAAAATCTGGCCCCTTACAAGACAGCTGCACATTAGCTCTCAACAGCAGCTGACACTGGCCAAGGGGTTAATTCCCCAGTCACTCGTTAGTTAATTGTTGCCATCTCTGCTCACCAGAAGCTCTTCCTCTTGCAGTTTCCTAGCGATCTCTGCATCATGCAGCTCCAGGTCCCTACGGGCCACTCGGGGTTTGGCATGAACAGCTTCTTTCATCCCCCTCGACTTCAATCCTGCAAAACCAGGAGAGAAATCAAATCCCTCAGCTCCCACGCAGCTTGGAATGGGACCACCCCCACACCCTCATCCACCCAACTGCAATCAGCTACTTTCCCAGAAGCCCAAACGGGCTCCGCTCAGAAGGTCCAGAGATCCAGTACTGGAGACAGCGATGTAGAAAAAGCCTCTCTGAAATGCTGGGCTCTGCAGAACCAGCCTGGGACAGGCTCGCGTGAGATGTCTGGTCATTACTGCCCCCGACTGGTTCACAAATTCAGCAAGGAGCAAATTCTTTGGGAGAGAAAATAATTAAACAAATACTTTTCTGAAGCTCATACAAGGTTCAGTTCTTGTTCTGGGCAGAAAGTGGGGTCAAACCACCCCTATTTTAGACGGTTTCCACAAGTATACATTTTTAGAGCCAGTCCAAACTCCCTTTGGACCAGGAGTTGGAGAGAGAGTCGGAGGAAGCTCAGGGGCTGTCCTCATTCCTGTTGGACCAGATACAAGGATGCTGCACTTAATCAATCAATGAGAGCCCTATCTAGCTCGCATCTTCAGATGCTGGGCTACAATACTCTGATCTCAGGATCATCCAGCAAGTGCCTCTCTCTGAATATCAGATCCTCTCTCTCTACCCTCAATTCAGCAATTACGATCTGCTCCAAAATTAATAATCTTTACCTACCGCCGTAGCGCAGACTCTTCCTACAAGGAGGGAAGAGGTTTTTCTTTCCATGTAGGTAAATCCACCTCTTCAAGTGGCAGTAGCTAGGTCAATGGGAGGATTCTTCCATTAACCCAGCCACATCTACACCAGGGGTTAGGTCGGCGTAGTTACAGCACTCAAGGGTGTGAATTGTACATACCCCTGAGCAATGTTGCTCGGCCAGTCTAAATTTTAAGGGTAGACCAGGGCTTAGCTAGTCTTTTTTCCTCAGAATACAAAGAGGAACGTTTATTTCATAGCTTCCAAGGCCCAGAAGGGTCCACTGTGATCATCTAGTCTGACCTCCTCGATAACACAGGTCAGAGACATCATTCGTAGAGCAGAGCTTTTAGAAAAAACACCCAATCCTGATTTTAAAATGATCAGTGATGGAAAATCCACCATGACCCTTGCTAAGTAGTTCAACTGTTAATTACTCTGACTGTTAAAAATGTACACCTTATTTTCAGTCTGAATTTGTCTAGCTTTAACTTCTAGCCATTGGATGACGTTATCCCTTTCTCTGCTGGACTGAAGAGCCCATTATCAAATATTTGTTCCCCATGTAGGTACTTACAGACTGTTACCAAGTTGCCCCTTAAGCTTCTCTTTGTTAAGCTAAACAGACCGAATATAGAAATACAGTGGTAATTTCCATATGACTCCTGCCCACATGAAGGAGGAACCTCTGGCACAAAGCACCAGCTATAATTAAGACCCACAGGAAGAGGAGATGAGCTGCTACTTGTATAGCTTGGCTATTTTCATCACTGTACAGTCGCTATACATCCAGTGGGATGCTATGCCGTGGTCTCCCAGAGGAATGACTGTGACCCTTATTGATACACACACCTTATCAATAACTTGCATTTCCAAAAAACAAACTTCTAAAAGCTTCTAAGAGCACAAGACTCAACACCCTGCAAGGTGGATATGCAGGATCATCTCCACCTTACGGAGAGGGAAGCTGCAGTGCAGATCAGTTAGGTGACGAGTGCAAGCTCCCACTAAGTCTGGGGCAGAGCTGAAGCTAGACGCCAAGTCTCCAAACTCCTGGCTTTTTTTCTTTAGCAACGAGACCATTGTCGCTTCGCTGATAGCAGAGGTGTTAGAGGTGTTTAAATTCTAATGGCATATTTGGATTTTTAAAGTGCGCTTAATCCATGTGCTCTACAAGCATGTACAGCAACACACCACACAATGAACCAGGAAACGCTTCTCTATAAAAAACCAAAAACAAAACAGAAATTCTCTCTCTCTGGCAAAAAGCTAAGATCTTGTACAGCCGCTCCGAACTCCGTGGCTCCCACTAAGGCATCTAAACACACAGCTGGACTTTCAAAAACAAGAGCTCCTAAGGGAGGTGGCTAGGAGCCACTGAGGACAGTGGAAACAGCTAGGTGCTGAGCGCTTTTGAAAAGCTGTCCCCAAAGAGAGCATACCCCTCACTCGGGGGGCCAGATTCTGCCCTCATTTACAATCCCAGTAAACAGAATAGGGTGGCAAGAGCGTGGCTGAGAGCAGAATCTGGCTCATTCAGGCCCTGGCCTTCACTGTTTTTGTTTTGATGCCAGGAGACAGCAGATACGGTAATTATCGCTATTAGTAAAAGGCTGTTTCCATTAGACAGCGGGAATAGAGTTCATAGCAATTCCTTTTCACCCGCCCACTAGCATATACCAGAAAGAGTCTGAATACGAATAAGGAGGGTCTTATTAAGGAAGGGGGCCGTCCTGGTACAGAGAACAAGAGCCAAGACCATTTTCTGTCTCTCTAGGTACTTGGGCAGCTCCGATCACCGTCGTGTCCAAAGAGTCGACGCAGAACTATCTTTATCACACTGGAGCAGGGGAGACCCGGGAACTTTCCAATGGCACTTCTAACGCAAGCCTAGGAAACAAACTGGCGGTCTAGACAGATGGGGCCCAGACAGATATTCTAGACAGGGACCTTGAGAAGAACCAGGACAACCTGACAAATCAGCCTCATACCCTGGATCCTTCCCCCACCCACCTTTCTGTGTTACCTGGGTCTCGATGGCGGTCTCTGTCCCTTTCCCAGTTCTCAGTGTGGGGGGAGGGAGACGTTCTTGGCCCATGTCCTGCTCTTTTATAATCGCTCTCCTGACCCCTCCTATGATCTTGCCTGTGAAATTCCTCTGTGTCACGGAGCCTCACTTCACAAGACCCCCTAGGGGACAGGCGGTCTTGGCGGTGGGACCTGTGGTTTTCCGGGTATGATAAACAGCTGCTGCTGTGCTCCTGAGCTGCTTCCAGATCAAGACTGGGAGGTCGTCTTGCTCTCTCCTTGCTCTGCGGCTTTCTGTCTCTCTGCTGCTGGCTTTTGCTGTGGCCCCAGGCTGCCTGGTCAGTCTCCAGGTCCAGTTTAAGAGCAGGTGGCCTCCGAGGCCTTTCCTGGCTCAATGGCCTTCTTTCTTTTTGCTCCCAGCTGGCACGTCCCACCTCCGTGCCCAGATCAAGGCTGGGAGGTCTCAGAGGCCTCTCCTGGCTAGTTGGTTTCCTTTCCCGCCGCTCCCAGCTGCTGCTGTGGTCCCAGGCATTGTATTCAACTGGTCTGTCCAGGTCAAGGCTGGGAGGTCTCCTGGATTTCTCACGGCTCAGTGGCTTCCTTTCCAAGCTGCTGCTGCAGTCCCAGGGCTCATAGTCAGCTGTCCTGTCCAGGTCAAGGCTGGGAGGTCTCCTGGATCTCTCACGGCTCAGTGACTTCCTTTCCAAGCTGCTGCTGCAGTCCCAGGGCTCATAGTCAGCTGTCCTGTCCAGGTCAAGGCTGGGAGGTCTCCGAGGCCTCTCCCGGCTGGCTGGTTTCCGCCGCTCCCTGCTACGTTGCTGGCCGTCCCTGGTCTTGCTCAGAGGAGGAGAGCTCCGAGATGCCTCGGCGGCAGGGTGCTCGCATTCAGTGGCGTTGTCAGAAAGAGCCAGGGAGGCTCTTTGGGGTTCTCTCCGCTGACGCGCGTGCCTGTCACCACTCCGGGCTCGGCGGGGCCGCGAGTACTCAGAAACCTGCTCCCTGGAGCTACCCTTCAGGTAGTCTGAGCAACGAGGGATGGGACAAACAACGAAGCAGGTTAGTGACACACAAGTTAATGCCAACGAATAGGGGCGAGCTCACGCAGCATGTGATGGCACAAGCGTGACGCAGGACTAGCGGAAAAGGCAGCTCCACATGGAAACAGGTAAGATGGGCAGCACGAACATGCAGGGTCAGAACGGGAGGCTGAGGTACAGGGGGGCAGCTGAGAGTTACACAACACAATGGGGACTTAATTAAGCAGCTGAACTAGGAGGAGCAAGTGGTGGAGGAGGGACTGACGTGGGGCAGCTTTGGTTTGCTAAGCACCCAGCCATCTGGATCCTCATCTAAAGCCTGAGCGCCTGAAAAAACAAGGCTGGATAACTCGAGAGATGGGGGGACCTCTCGCTGCCGGCTGGGCTGACAAAGAGCACGGGACAAGCCCATTGCACAGGGTTGCCTTACTTCCGATTGCTCCTGGACCCAACCAGAACCAGGTTCGCAAAGGGCAGCTCAGTGGAGAGGGGTGGAAGGGTGGGGGAGAGGAGAGATGTACTCAGCCCTCCAGAAATGTTTCGGTCTCCGTTCTGAAGAGAAAAGGAGTACTTGTGGCACCTTAGAGACTAACCAATTTATAGTCTCTAAGGTGCCACAAGTACTCCTTTTCTTTTTGCAAATACAGACTAACATGGCTGTTACTCTGAAACCTGTTCTGAAGGGGGGAGGGGTGGGGAGAGAAGATCACCGCCATGTGTTTTCATGGGGGAAGGAATAAAGCTCCATGCTGTGAAATTAAGGCAGCTTGGAGACAGGCCAATTCTACCTTTTTATAAGCTCACCCATTACCATGGTATCTGAGCACCTTGCTCGAAAAGTAACCCGAGACTAACAACCCTCCCTTCTGTGAATCAGAAAGCAGGAGGGCTGAGGGCCCTAGTTCCCACATTAGAGAACTCAAGTCTAGACTCTAAGTATCACTGTGGAAATTTAAGGGCCGGATGGTACTTGACAAAACTTACACACTACGTTCAGAAAATGGTTCCTGACCTAAGCAATGTAGTTTAAAAAAAAAAAAAAAATTTCCCTTGGTTGTTTCGCAGATTTGTTTCATCTGAGCTTTCCACGAAGCGGGTGGAAATCCTCTTTGGTTTTGCTTTCACAGTGACAACTAAATACAAATATTTAACCGTGGGGGAGTTGGAAATGTGCCACCCCCCAATCTTCTGTTCGACTTAATTTCTAAGAAAAGTCATGGGGCAGAATGAAGTGCTACATACAGCAGTACAGTGAAGAACTCAGAGTACAGCCATGAGAAAGAATTCACACTAAGCAGAGATAACTGTAAGCAGGATTGCAGCACAATGAAACAGCAAGGGACTTTCCTTCTCCATTTTGGACACAGTTTCATAATAGCTAAGAGAGACAAGGTGGGTGAGGGAATCTCTTTTGTTGGGCCAACTTCTGTTGGTGAGAGAGACAAGATTTCAAGCTACGCAGAGCTCTTCTTCAGGTATGGGAAGTGTACTCAGAGGGTATGTCTACACTGCAATCAAACACCTGTGGCTGACCTGGGTCAGCTGACTTGAGCTTCCAGGGCTTGGGCCAGGGAGCTGTAAAATGGCTGTGTGGATGTTCGGGCTTGGCTCTGGGACCCCAAGCCTGGGCTCCGGCCACCTGCACTGAATATCTACAAAGCAATTTTTAGCCCCACAGCCCAAACCATACCTGGGCCAGCCACAGCCATGCCCTGGGTCTTTTATTCCAGGGTAGACGTAACCAGTGTCTCACAGGTAAATAGAAAGCCCAGGCTTGCCAGGGCTGATTAAGCCTGCTCTGAAAAGTGACAGCTGCATGTTTGTTAAGATCACTTTTCACAACAGACTTACTATCGAGCAATAAACAAACCTCAATGATTTGGAGGTGTCTATGTGCATATTTGGTTTTCCTAAAGCTAATTAAGTATTTCAGGAAAAAGTGAGAGAGCGGACACCAGCAACACCAAAGTTTTTTTCCTGAGAACCCCTGCTCTAAGTGACGGGAGAGAGCTCTGCTGGGTTAATAACGCCACCTCCACGACAGGTAGTACCTATGTCGGCAGGAGAAGCTCTGCGATTGACACAGCGCTGTCCACTCCAGTGCTTAGGTTGGTATAACAGAGGTCGCTCAGGGGTGTGGATTATTCACACCCCTGAGCGTCGTAAATTGTACCAAAGTAATTTGTAGTGTAGACATAGCCTGAGTACCTTTCCCAGACCTGAAACAGAGCTCTATGTAAGATCAAAAGCTTGTCTCTCTCATCGACAGCACTTGGTCCAATAAAAAAAAAAAAAAAATACCACCTCACACACCTTGTCTCTCTAATATCCTGCAGCCAACATGGCTACAACATTGCATATAATAGCAATGCTCATTTTAAGGATGTTCTGTTGCACATTGTTTGTGTTCTGTTTTAAGGAAAGCACAGTTAAACTGTTACTATCCTTTGAAACAAGAAGCCAGACTTGGGGATCAAAACAACTGGGTCCCTTTAAATCATACTGTTTAGAAAAATCTCTTCAAAGCTATAAGAAATGCAGCCTACTGCAAACCAATCTTGAAAGCAAATCTGCATGACTTTTATGCAAGATAGATATATATTTTAAAAACAACAAACAAAAAACCAAGAGCTGAAAGGATAAGTATGGCAGTGTCTGTTAAATGGTGGGTTTTCCTGGACAATTTCAAATGGCAACTGTTATCTGCAGATGATGAATAGTGCTTTTTTTTTTATAAAAAAAACAACAACACTATCTGGATGATTTACTGAACAGTGGTTAGAAATGAAAGGAAAGTCGGAAAGCAAGGAGTCAGTTTCTGCACAACACAAACAAGTGCCTATAACCCAGCATCACCTGTGATTCGTTTAATCTTGTCTGCACAGCTCAAGAAAAAAGCAAAAACAAGCCAAGCAACCACCTCTGACAGGGAAAAGAAAGGGAAGGATGGCGTGAAATGCTGAAGCTCGGTTGGGAAAGGACTGTTTCTGTGTGGGTAACTCTACCATGCCAGACAACCTGAGCAGGAGATTTGGTGTCAGTGAATCTCAGGACAGTTAGCTTCCACCCAACCTGCAGTAACCGTGGTGCCCCGCAGCAGTTGCAACATAAGCACTCTTAGGGGTTGGTGCCACTTTATCAAACAATAGGAGACAGGGTGAATAGGACAATATTTTCCAAGGGACAGATTCTTCCAGGACAGAATCTTTCTTCTTTTGTATTTATTTTTCCTTTTAAAAATAGGGATGGTTCTGAACTAGAATCTCAGATCCACACCCACTCTGAATATGGGGGAAGCTTGGATGCAGATCACAACACTTTCCAGCTAGAACCCACATCAAGTGAGGATAATGCAAACCAATAATGCTGGGTCCTTATCACCTTGCGCTCAGGTACTTCACAGGTGCCAGAGCAACATGCTAGATGCTCTCGGTGCTTCTAGAGAACCCACTACAGTTAGCTATCTAGTTGCTAAATGCAAGGAGAAAAAAAGGCCACTATTACTGGCTGATTAAGGACCTTCTACCCTGCCCCTCCCATGATTGGATCATGTTTCCGGACTAGATCATGACAGGTGGAAGAAGTCTGGTGGGAGGAAATGTCACCATGCCAGTTTGCAGCCTCTCTTAGGATATCCTGCTCTCCAGGTGCATCACGCATGGTGCTGCATATCTTCTTAGCATACAGGTTCAGAGGATCATAGATCTTTTCCATCTCTAACTTCTGCTGCAAAATCTAGCCAATCCTCACACCCCAGCAAGAGCAAGATTATTCCCCTACAGCATGTCCCCCACTGACTTCCCAAGTCGCATTCTAAAAGATTCCAGCAGGGAGTCCGTCACCACTTTCACTGGGAGAACATTCTGTGTATGGTAGATCTCATCATTCTGATGTTTCCATCTAGTTGCTGCTCCACAGTTTGTGGTATGAACTTTCTGGCCATCCTAAAGCTTATTTCTGACTGAACTTTAGTTAAACATTTTACTTGGGAGGGCAGATGAAATATGTAATAATCAGACACAGATCTTAAGGTCAGAAATCAGAGGTCTGCTCTTCAACTGTGCAATTCCTGAATCAAAAAATGGCAAATCCTTTCCCAACACACATTTTTCAGGAGGAAGAACGTCAGAAAGAACCGCCACCAACAAATAGAGCAATTTTCAGGCTGTTCAATAATTAAACACCCTGATTCTCCCCTGACCTGGAGGGAGGTTGTGTTTGATCATAAAAGCAGGTCCCCAAGGAAAAACAGCCCTGCAGATTATATTCTTTCCATGATTAACAGACCAGAGTGATAATCTTGGTGAAGCTGTTCTTTGGAGACCCTCCTGTTTTCCAGTAAGTCATACCAGTTGAATATACTGGTTCTAATGCTGGATACATACCTGATAGGAATTTTGTTTGAAAGGCCACTCCATAGACCAGTTATTCATTACTCACTTAGACCACTGTGGGTATTTCAGATGACCACACAAATCAAAAATGGAAACACTGTCCTTAAAATTGTAGTGCCTCAATTACCTTAAGCTTTCTTGTTAGTACACTCCATGTTAATAAATTAGACACATATACTGTCTGCCACATATCATCTTTAACCACAAGCAGGTTTTACACACATACCATCCCCACCCTATAACCCATTTTAACGGAACATTAAAATAAAAATGGGGACAAGAGTTTTATCTAATCTCCTGATTCTAGCCTAGGGCCCAATAAGTCAATGACAAAACCCCAATAGATGTCACTGGGTCCTTAAGCAGAGCAGAAGAAATGAACTTAAACCAAAAGCCCAGCCCTCCGGCAGAAGGTCAAACTGTATAGCTCAGGATCACCAGTACTACAGAGCGTGTGATCCTTGCGCTAGAGAGGAAAGGTTACCTCCGTTCTCTGGGTAGTAACTGTCCTCATGATCGGTGTGTCCCTGGGGTTCTGGGTAGTGCTTTTTACTCTTCTTTTCTTCCTGCAGTTCCTTCTGCTGTAGGATGCGGGCAATGTCCTAGAGGTGGAGGAGAGACAGAGTCAGGACATTTCCAGAGAGCACTGGGAATTCTCTCTCTCCTTCACTTATTATCACCAAGGAGACGCTAAGTTGTACCTGTAACAGCTGTGGATGCCTCTCCTGCGATATGCTGTAAGTAACAATCCTTCGCATTTCTGAAGGCCCCCTATCTAAACATCCCAATGAGCATCACAGACCGTGAATTCACCCTCGCAACATCCCAGGGATTTAGTTCATTACCCTCAGTTTACACAAGGGAAGACAAAGGCACAAGGAGACCAAGCGATAACCTGACCCACATGCTGGCTAGTACACTCCCCAGTTCTCTGTTTACCAAAGGGAATGAATTAGGGGACTACATGGCTCTGTCCTCCTGTACTTTGGGGACAAGGGATCCTGCAGGACAGCCTCCTGCCCACCAACCCCCCAGTGCACAAATCAGCATGCAAGGGGCGCCAGGGAGTGAATCGGCACTGACTGTGCTGTGGTGTTCTACTCTCCTTTGAAGTTGTGAATATCTGAATGGGTTAATTTTAGCTACTGCAGGCAGTAAGTATTGATTTTATTTTAAGTGAGGCCAATTGTAGGTGCGCTGGCGGAGTGGTTAAGAAGTTCAGCTGCAATCCTGGAGGCCGTGGGCTCAAGTCTCGCTCGTTCTGACACCAAACGGCTACCTCCAATTACAAAATGGGCACCGGGTGCTCCATGGGGTTACGGCAATCAAAGGCAGCCGGACCTGACACTGGCCACATCGCTCCCTTGTGGATAGTCAGCTCTGAAACTGATGTGCCTTAACCAATCAGTCTGATGAGCCATTGGCTCAGGGAGCTTTGACTGTCGTAGGTCTGAGCACTGGGCTGGGAGCCAGGAGTTCTTGAGTCCTATTCCCAGCCCTGATGCAAACTCCCTCGATAGGGTCAGACAAGTCACCGGGGTCTCACTTTTCCTGTCTGTAAAAGGTAGGCCCACCTCCCTCACATTCAAATCAGCAGGTCTCCAGCCTTAGCTACATACAGATCTTGCAGCTGCTCCTCAAATACCCAACACGAGCAGAGCTTGAAATGGCTATAGGAGGATTAGAATTGCCATACTGGACCACATACTGCCATACTGTGGTCCATCAATTCCACTATGCTGCTTGAACAGTGGCCACTGCCTGATGCTTCAGGGTTGGTGCAAGAAACTCTGAAATAGTCACTCATGGAGTAACCAGCCCAGAGGGGAAGTTTCTCCCTAACCTGTTAGTTACTGGTTGCCTTATACCTTGAAGCAAGAGGGTTTCCACATCCAATCAAAACACATTTTCTTTTAAATCCTCATATCAAATATGTCTGGAGATCTTCTCAATAACTATCTGAATGAATGATCCTTTTTTGAATCCTACACTAAGCTCTTAGTTCAGTATCTTCTTGTGGCAGCGAGTTCCATAAGTAAATTATGAGTCGTGTAAACAACTATTTCTTTTATTGGGTTTAAATTTGGTGCCTTTCCATTTCACTGAACCCCCATTATTTTGTGTTATAAGAATGGCTCATTAGGAGCACCCAATTCACTTTCTCTATCTACTTTGGGTTGTATATACTTCCACCCAACAATATAGTATCTGAGAGCCTTCCACCAAACAAAAAATATCAAGAAAGCAATACCAAAATCCCTGTCTGACCCTTCTCCCTTTCCAGGGTCAAAGCTCTGCTTTCGTAGCTAGTTGGATTTTTTCTCTCTTTTCTTTCTTGGGGTGGGGGAGGGGGGGAGAGGGGTGGAAGGAAACGGGTTGGGAATAGTAGGATGAGAATTCCCATCCCTATAGCCTTCATCATTTTATAGCCATTTGTCATGCCCCCATCACTTTGGTTATGACCATGGCACCTCCCTCACTGGAGGTTTTTAAGAGCAGGTTAGACAAACTCCTGTCAGGGATGGTCTAGATAATATTTAGTTCTGCCTCAGTGCAGGGGACTGGACTAGATAAGCTACTGAGGTCCCTTCCAGTCCTATGTTTCTACAATTGTATGCGGAAGGTGTGAGGTGCCCGTTCTGATGTTTGAAGGCGATCACATGCATAGTCCAGCTCTGAAAGCCAGAATATCCAAAGCAAGGAAGGTGAGACTGAATTTTAAAGCTCCAGGCTTTCAGGATCCACAGCTAGGCTATTAAAAATAAAACCCTTTCGCATGCCCACCCACGCGGCACTGCAAAGCACCTTCCTCTTTACCCCACTGTTTTTCCTCCCACTAGCATAGTTCTGGGTTGCGTCACTGCCAAATGCGAGTTGTTTATTAGCGCCGGGGTTTCCAAAGTCAGGTATGAACTTGCTTCAAACTGGGTGCTAATTACAGGGACTGTGGTACGTCAAGCACAGAAATGCATCAATGTAACGGCCAAGGACTGGAGGGAAAGAAACTCGAGAGGGATCTTTATAAGAAAGGAACAGTGCCTGGTGGAGAGGTGTTGCAGCCAGTGCGGTCACTGCTTGTCCACTGAGGTGCACTAAGACCACAGAGTGTGCCACTTTCCTAATTGGTTTTCCTTCGTGATTATTGGGAGGGCGAGACTGTAGTGCCTACAAAGCAACCGGCTGCTTGGGGGACTCTTCTTTGTGGGACCCCATGTTCTGCAACTCCCAGGGCAGCCTGATTTGCAGCAGAGGGATCAGGGCTGGAAGAAGAGGAGGAGGAGAAACAACACTAGATTCTGGCAGCAGAATTGGTGGGAGAAGATGCTGTCTTGGGGCACTGTAAAGTGAAGGCCAGAACGTGGTGCACCAAGGCTGATAGAAAAGCAGAGGGAATGAACTCAGCTGTCGCCAGCTAAACCATGTCTAGAGAGAGAGAAAGCTACAGAAAAAGAACATGAGGAATACGTCATGAGGTCCCCCTGGAATCCAGAAGGGCTGAGAGTGAACGTGGCCAGGCAGGCAGGCCTTATGGTGGGATCCAACACCCCCCATTTTGGAACCGCAGAGAGAAGTCCCAACATCCCTGGGACGTGGGCCAAGTCTGCAGACAGTGAGCGGCCATTTTGGCCCTCTATCCCCAGGGTCTGAGGCCATGTTTCATGTGATTTGAAGACAGCTTCAGGTGAGTCTGCCTTGAACGCAACCGCCCAATGGCACCTGGGACACACAATGGTTCAGAGCCAGCACAGACAAGGAAGGATTCCTCAGGAGCGAAGCACCAAAGTCCTACTCTCTCCCCATTCCACGTCAGTGGGCAAAGATGCTGATACAGCACCGTAGACCACAGTCTTCCTGGCCTCTTCTCTAAATACCCCATCCTCGTTAGGAGACACCCCCTGCACCTGGAGTGAACCCAATGGGAGAGCTGAGGAGAGAATGCCAGCTGTCTGCACAATGCGTTAGTCTACACCAGAGGGATGGAAATTTCAGTCCACACCAGCTTGTTGTGCACCAACTGGCCTGTGGACCCTGCCGGTGTGCAATAGAAGTTCCCTCGTGCAAGTGAGCATAGGAACTACATTAGCACTGTGCTAGTCTAAACTCCCTAGGTTTTCTCCATGCCCTAGACTGGAACTATGAAGCAGCTGGAGGATTTTAGAAATGCCAGTCAGGGAGAGGACACAGCAAGTCAGAGGACCTGGCTACTACTGACTCACTGAGATACTAGGGAAAATCCCTTCTCCTCTCTGTCCCCATTTTGCAGATGAAGAAACTGAGGACAACACCTTCTTCCCAAAGGTGCTGTGAGGATTTTGAAGTGCTAGCAAGAAAGGCGCTACAAAAATGCAAAGTATTGTGGTGATAAATACTGTTACTGAAAACACGCCAGATACACTTCTATTTCTGCTGTGGCATTGAAGGACTTACTGCTGGGATTTAAATTCAGATATGGGATTTCCATTATTTCAGGGTTTAAATCAGCTGTTTACGGTAATCTGCATTGTAGGGCAGGTGGGGGCACCAAGTGGCATTTACAAAAACATCCTTTTGCCTGACTGAGTTAATGACAACCCCATCTCTATTGAGTACAGCAAGTCTATAAATAGATCAACTTAAGCATATTACCTATTGGACTGGGACAGTTCTGGACTTGTAAATCCGTATCAGCTGGTTCTTAGAAAGTGGATCATTGACCAGGTAGGCCAAGCGCTTCATTGCAAAACCCTGTGCGACAGACAGCGGCAATGCCCTTAGCACAGAGCCACTGCAATCTGCAGTCATGGGATGCTATCAGCGTGACAGGAGTTACCAGATATGCTCAGTAAACAATACACCCTCGTGTACAGTATGAGCATAAATAGTTTGGCACGGCTCCAGGGATTTTATTCACAAAGTCATAGTACAGGCTACAACAGAACTACTAATGAAGTCCCCATCCTGCAAGCTGATCTCCAGGAATAGACCCCTTTTACTTAGGGACATAGGACACAGAATTTTAAGGGATCTCCTGGGCCACTGAGTCCAGTCCCCTGCTAACACGGGCAGTACCACCATATAATCCTGATCCAAAATGTCACTGGGGCTCTACCTATGTTGGCCAGCTTTCAGGATCAGGGCCCAAATCTGCACAGGCGAAAGAATTCCACTACGTGGTCCGTGTCTGTTCTTCCTTTGCACAAGGGGTTATGCAGTCCCATCACAAAGGGCCCAACTCTGACTCCTGCTGAGAAGCCCCTTTCTCCATAAGGAGCCCCAGTGACCCTGAAGGGATTCCGGTGGAGCCAGAATCCAGAGTGTGGCATTCTGAACTCCGCCCAATCCATACTACGGGGCTGAGTACCAAAAATACACCAACATAAATACATGCAAGCGCACCGCGTATCCAGATCATCTAAATAGGGCTCAGGTCTCTCTCCGTCCCTTTACCCGGAAAAAAGGCAAGAAACCCAGGCTCAAGGATAGGAGTGATCTGCCGCCATAGGTACAGGCCAATCCAGTGTTTAGTTAATTTCACCTAAGTTCAGCTACCTCCCATGTGCCGGGGAGAGGGGTGGAGGCAAAACGACTGACTAGAAGAAGACTACAATAATACCACGACCCCGTAGCTCTTATCGAGCACTTTTCATCCATAAGGGCCTCTGTTTGCTGTACCAAGGAGGCCAGTGCTATTATTCCACTTACGATCATTTCATCAGATTGTTAACTGCTGCCCTGACTATGGCCCAGGATGCACCTGCTGCGTTTACCTCAGTTCTATTTGTGCAGCAGCTAGGAAGGATGTGGTCTCAGAGAGAGCAGAACACACTGCTCTGGGAAAGCCAAGGGAAGGCTCTGCAATGCCCCACCCATTGTCCAGCTAGGCAAGTTTACTGCACACACCCTTTGGTTTGTTAATATCACTCGCTTATTTCCTGAGGGCATGTTCACACCCTCTTAGCTTTTAAGTGCTTGTCTGGTCAACTGTCGATCACCTGTTTAGTGTCATGAGCGGGGATGATGCTTTGGAGTCCAAGAAAGCTACAAAATCATATTCCCAGCAAGCTGACCATCAAATGAAAGGGAGAAATTCTGCTCTTTGAAGTTCTCCTAGAAACCATACAGTGGTCAATGCCCTCTGCTGTGTAACAACTCCCCAAAGAGCAAGCGCCGCTTGCTATCATGGCCTCTCTTTAGAGTCTTAATTCCTATTTCTATTTCCCCGAGTTAGGAGAGAGACAGCACATCTGTTACTCTGCAGAGGAGAAGTTGGGCCTCAGAGAATCCTTTTCCTAAATAAGGGTGCTGCTCCCTGGTTGGTGATGCAGCTTTTCCCTCGCTCTGTGGCTTCCCCGGATATATAGCCTGGAAGTTGGGCTCAGCAAAACGATTTCAGTCCAAACCCTTCAGAGAACATGGACACTTATGGCCAGACTGTGTTTTCTCATCCATTGGCTGCCCTGGAAGCAGTGCGTTGTCACACCACCCCAGGAGGTTCTCCTTACGGCATTGTGTGTCAGGCAGGCACAGCACCGCCTAGAGTGCAAGGGGATTGACACAGCTCTCGCACACCTTCAGCACAAGGACTGATTATGCCCCATTCTTGCACAGGGACATAAGGGGCTGCATGAATTCCCCTTGCATGGCATCTCCCATCTTGCACATCCACACGGAGTTGGGCATAATCCAACCCCCACCGGGCAAACACAATCTTCAGGGTTGGTTTGGCCAATGGCTGGAATATGCCTGCACCGCTTTAATAAAAATAGCCCTGCTTTCCCCACATCTTGAAGGGTTACCTCGTCTTTCTCCTCTTGTCTGCGCCGTTGCTCTGCTTCAATCACCAATTTCACCTGAATTTCCTGAGCTATCTCGCAGTCCTGCCGTTCTCTGGAAGGCAGAAGGAGGAAGAGGTTACACGCGCCAAACAACATGGACATCAGCCAGACTGCAGAGACAGAGCACAACGGACTCCAGGACCAGCATTATTTATTCTTTGTATTACTGTAGCGACTGGGGCTCCTATCGTGCAAGGTGCTGTACAAACACAGAACAAAGATACAGGAAGTCGGCTCTTTGCGGCAGGGACTAAGTGGACGACAAAAGACAAGAGATGGAGACAGACAGACAGACGGGGGAGTACCAGGAAACAAGGGACAGTATTGGTCAGCATGAGAGGCAGTGGTCCCAGCACACCAATGGTCCAACCACTCAAGTTTTTTTGCAGGCATCATGGTGAAGGAGAGTTTTGAGGGAGGAGGAGGAGGAGGAGGTTGCTTTGTGGATGTTTTGGGGGGGCTCCTCCCAAGCAGGAGGGGCAGCACAGAAGAAAGCATGAAGGTGTTTGAAAGTTTAACAGCTGGGCAGTAGAGTCGGGCAGCACAGGGCGATCAGAGGAGAGCATCGACAGCTTGACAGCGAAAGAGAGAGGATAGGCAGGGCAGGGATAGGCTGTGGAGAGGTGACCGGGTGAAAGTTGCAGGGTAGGAAGCATTCTGAATGGATGCGAGTGGGACTAGACTCCATTTTTCCAGGCCAGAGAGAAGGACGTTGCAGTAGCGGAGGTGCGAGATGACGAGAGCCTGGACAAGAGTTTTAGCTGAACGGATGGCTAGAAAAGGTCACATCTTAGAGACGTTTTTGCCGATTCTTTCTCTGTGATTTGAATAGAGCGTGGACGCGAGGACATTGTGGTTCTGGGCTTAGTGACAAGTGGGGTGGTGGTGCTGGCCACAGTGACTGAGAAAGGAGGCAGCAGAAAGGGTTTGGCAGAGGGGCACTGAGATTGGGGCTGTGTTTTAGCCATGTTCAACTTGAGCTGGCAGCTAGACATCCCCCAAAAGAAGTCAGAGAGAGACAGGCTGAGATTTCAGTTTGGACTGAAGGAGACAAGTCTGCAGTAGACAGGTAGATCTGCAAGTTATCAGCCCAGAGATGGTAGTTGAATTTGTGTTTACAGATGAGGTTATCCAGAGATATGGTGTAGAGGGAGAAGAGGAGATGAAGGACAGAACCTACATCACTCAGAAAGAATTTTAAACCTCTCATCGATTTTCCATTGTTACTGAGGTTTGCATCTCTTTGCATTTCACTCAGCTCAGGCAGTGAGACTAGCCTGATACGATGCACTTGTGTGTCTGGTCACCTTCACTTTCCAGTTCTCCTGCACTAGCAACATTTGAATTTACAACTGGATGGGTGTGAAACTTTCCTTCTGGAGCCCTCAAATGCAGGTGAACTCACCCAGCTCCAAGCATGGACCATGGTTTGGTCTTGGGCAAACCTGATCTAAGCAGGGATTTACTGTGTCAAGTGAATCCCATGCAAACCTGCTGTCCAACAGGCTACAGCAGGGGAGGGGGGAGTGTCTGTCTGTCTGTCTGTCTCTCTCTAACATTCTGGGTCCTTTAGGACCAGAAACTCAGCGAAACCTCAGAGGACATGGCACAGATCCAGGAAGAGTAAACCTAAAGAGTCAGATCCTGAGAGGTACCGAGTGCCTGCAATCCCCCTTGACGTCTGCAAGCAGAGCTGAGGAGCTCCATTCACCAGTGCCAGACAGTCTGCTCAATGTAAAAAACACCACTTCCAGCAGATGGCTAAGAGACACAGCTAATCATTTCCCCGAGCATGGGAGCCAAAGTCACTTCCTCTCTACTCACAGCACTTTCTAGTGTGCTTGGCTGTGTGGGAATGGAAAAAAAAAAAATTACACAAAAGCAAAAACATTTTCTTGCTCCTGATGAGTCTCTTGGAATGCAATATACTAAGCTGTTTTTTAACCACTGAATTGCACCGATGGGTTATACTTTCTCTTTCACTGTTTGGCCGGTAATAACTGGAAACTTGGTTTAATCACTTGACAGAGTGTAGTGAAGAACTTTCCATTTTTATTTAAGCGAACTTCAGGCCCTACAAGTCAAATGGAAGGAGCAGGTGCCAGCACCTCCGGACTTCAACTGTCCTTCATCCCCGGATAGCCAGAACCCACTGGGCTTTGTTCTGAAAAATGCTTCATAGGTTTATGCTCCATTTTTACTGCATTACTTTTAGAAATCTGTTTCATGAAAATCATAGAATCATAGAATATCAGGGTTGGAAGGGACCCCAGAAGGTCATCTAGTCCAACCCCCTGCTCAAAGCAGGCCCAATTCCCAGTTAAATCATCCCAGCCAGGGCTTTGTCAAGCCTGACCTTAAAAACCTCTAAGGAAGGAGATTCTACCACCTCCCTAGGTAACGCATTCCAGTGTTTCACCACCCTCTTAGTGAAAAAGTTTTTCCTAATGTCCAATCTAAACCTCCCCCACTGCAACTTGAGACCATTACTCCTCGTTCTGTCATCTGCTACAATTGAGAACAGTCTAGAGCCATCCTCTTTGGAACCCCCTTTTAGGTAGTTGAAAGCAGCTATCAAATCACCCCTCATTCTTCTCTTCTGCAGGCTAAACAATCCCAGCTCCCTCAGCCTCTCCTCATAACTCATGTGTTCCAGTCCCCTAATCATTTTTGTTGCCCTTCACTGGACTCTCTCCAATTTCTCCACATCCTTCTTGTAGTGTGGGGCCCAAAACTGGACACAGTACTCCAGATGAGGCCTCACCAATGTCGAATAGAGGGGAACGATCACGTCCCTCGATCTGCTCGCTATGCCCCTACTTATACATCCCAAAATGCCATTGGCCTTCTTGGCAACAAGGGCACACTGCTGACTCATATCCAGCTTCTCGTCCACTGTCACCCCTAGGTCCTTTTCCGCAGAACTGCTGCCTAGCCATTCGGTCCCTAGTCTGTAGCTGTGCATTGGGTTCTTCCGTCCTAAGTGCAGGACCCTGCACTTATCCTTATTGAACCTCATCAGATTTCTTTTGGCCCAATCCTCCAATTTGTCTAGGTCTTTCTGTATCCTATCCCTCCCCTCCAGCGTATCTACCACTCCTCCCAGTTTAGTATCATCCGCAAATTTGCTGAGAGTGCAATCCACACCATCCTCCAGATCATTTATGAAGATATTGAACAAAACCGGCCCCAGGACTGACCCTTGGGGTACTCCACTTGATACCGGCTGCCAACTAGATATGGAGCCATTGATCACTACCCGTTGAGCCCTACAATCTAGCCAGCTTTCTACCCACCTTGTAGTGCATTCATCCAGCCCATACTTCCTTAACTTGCTGACAAGAAGACTGTGGGAGACTGTGTCAAAAGCTTTGCTAAAGTCAAGAAACAATACATCCACTGCTTTCCCTTCATCCACAGAACCAGTAAACTCATCATAAAAGGCGATTAGATTAGTCAGGCATGACCTTCCCTTGGTGAATCCATGCTGGCTGTTCCTGATCACTTTCCTCTCATGCAAGTGCTTCAGGATTGATTCTTTGAGGACCTGCTCCATGATTTTTCCAGGGACTGAAGTGAGGCTGAAAATACTTCTGTTCATATGAGCTTTGGCAAATAATTGGAGTGGGGTAGAGTGGCACAAAGAGAAAGGGTAGGGGAAGAGATAAATTAAATTTAAAATGGTCCCTTTAATAGATGCTTTGTGGAATTTGGAGCAGTGCCGTGAAAAGCAAAATTACATACCAGCTCAGGTTGTGCGTGTCTGCATGTATATATACACACAATAACCTGTGAGCTTTGGTGCTATTAGGACAGGCAGGATGAGCAGGTTATTCAACCACATTTAGGAAGAGCTCTTAGACTTAATGTAAAAGATGACCTGATACCTCATTAAAAACTTGAAACAAAAAAAAAAAATCCGTTTCCAAGTGTTTCTGTCCTTGCATTTATCTTCCCCAGTGCTTCCTAACTTTGGAAATCTAGGATTTAAAAAAGCCTCAGAAAGCTAGGATATTAAGATATTGATTTCTTAAGGGATTGTCTGTTCCTGCTTCCTTACTCACCAATCCCCTTCCAATGGGAAATCCTCCTGGTTTAGCTGTGGCGGTGAAGTCATTCTCTAACGGGGCTTAATGCTCACAGGCAGGATTGGTCCTGCTTGGGGATTGGTCCTGCTTTGAGCAGGGGGTTGGACTAGATGACCTCCTGAGGTCCCTTCCAACCCTGATATTCTATGATTCAGGAAAGAGGCAGCAGGAGCCAACAGAGGATTAAGAAACAGAGATCCAGTTGCACACCCCGTAACATCCCCAGGCTTGCACATCGCTTCTTGCTGAGAGGCTAGAGGACACAGGAGTGCTGCTGACATGATGCTTTTCCAACCTTTAGCAGGAAGCTTCAGCCTTTCTGCCAGCCCAGCAGCTTGCTGGGTTGGAAATTCCCATTTGCAGGGCCCCAGCAGCATCAAAACCTGCTGAGAAATGGGGCTAGTCGGCAAACAGAGATGTTCGCTGTAGACTGGAATGTGAACCTTGTGTACACACACGCTGGTGCAGTTCACACGTTCAGAGCAGACAGCAGCTAGAAAAAGTAAGTATGTATTTTATACACACATACATTCACTCTTCCTTCACCTCTATTCAGCCAAAGTGTTTTAGGGACATCAAAACCGATAGGGTGAACAGGGAGTTAAACGATTAGGTCAGAGAGTGATTTATGTTTGTCCAAGCACAAAGTGAAACCCTTCTTTTGTCTGAGAGATTTTGATCTAAGATTAAGGAAAACAACAAGACAAAAAAAAAAAAATCAAGTCTCCATGGGAGAGCGCAAGTTGCCTCTGAAACACGCTGCATCACAAAACAGTGCCTGCCTCCACAAACTCCTGAAAACCTGAAGGTGTAGTACACAGGAAGCAATGTCAGAAGATACACAGCTACCTACACGACTCAGTAGCACAAAACACTCACAATGGGAACATGCCGATATCTGCACCTCTTATAACAGGGGGATTCATCACAATACCTGGCATTTTTGTAGCACTTTATATGCTCAAAGCTATGTCAAACATTCTCCAGCTGTGACGGCAGTGGCTAAGTCTTCCCCACTTCACAGAGAGGCCAAACGAGACAAAGGAGAAATGACCTGCCCAAGGCCAGGAGGCGAATGAGTTGGCAGAGCCAAGATTAGAACCCACAACCCGAGCTGGGTGAAACTTGTCAGCCAGAAAACGTTTTTCAACCATAAAAAGCAGAACCGAGCCGACTAACCATGCTGCCTGACATAAGCGGTTGATCCAGATAGAGTTTACGGATGTTTATTTGTATTCTGTACAGGGGAGAGAGAAACAGGAGCATAAGAAGAGCAAAAGGTTGACTGGCCTTGGCACAGATTCTGCTAGTGATCAGCTGAAAGCACAGCAGCAGCTCGGAGGGCAGCGACCCTGTGAAACAAGCGCTTGTGAGACTCCATCCCCCACTCACATGTCTTTGTAGCGCTTCTGGATTTGGGCTCGTGCTTTCAGATCCTCCTCTTCCTGCAGCTGCTTGGCCACTTGCAGGTCATGTTGCACCAGGCGGTTGCGCTGAACGTTTGTTGCCAAGTGATGTTCAACTGGAAAGAAATGGAAGAGGAACGTCAGAATCAATATAGGTACATAAATGGGCAGGCGGGCTTCAAAGAGGGTGCGCTTTGCGTCAGGGAAATGCCAGGCAGCACCTTTAAGGTGCCTCAGGCTGGGCACCTAAAACTTGAGGCTTCTGAAATCATTAGGCACTTTTGAAAACCTGGGCCAATATATTAAAAACAAAAACACACCACCAGTGTAACGTTTTACCAAAACCACCTCAAAGAGATTTAGGCCCAAAGAGATCACTTCACCCACCACTCAAATGCAGCCATCGCTGGGGTGTAGCACAGCAGCTGTTTAACAGTGTGCAGCCACTGTGAAAGGTAGGAAGAATAATCTGAACAATTAAATTGGGAAGAAAAATCTGATTCCAATTAAAAGCAGAGGTTTTGCTAGCAACACTGACATCGTAAGGGGACAGAATCCAAGAGCAAAACATTTAAATCCCATATAGAAAACCCACCGTTGCTCCAGCGACAATTCTGCCTTCTTTGCTCCCCTGTCTCTGCACTTTGGACCCTGCTGGGACAGACTCAATGCAAACCGAGCGCAAGGGACAGACACCAGACACTTACTCTCCTGCTCCTGCAGGCTGTGCGCGAGGGTGTGATCCTCCAGCACGGCGAAGTCTCGGCACACTGTGTGGGGGGAGGAGAGGGGCAGAGGGTCAATCCCAGGAACACAAAGGGTCCAGGAGCATGGGGAAGACAAACAGTTGCAAATAAATCAGACACAATCTCCCCCCTCCCCACCCGACCTTCTGCTGGGCTCTAGGGTGAGCTTTTTCCTTTCCCCCTAAGTGAGTAGTTTTAGCATGCACTTCCTTCCCTTGTCCTCACCTTCAGCCCCGAGCCATTCCACAGTGCCTGCATCTCTGCTCATGTTTCTTATGACATCCTGCCCTGCCCATGCTTTCAACACAGCCGGTTCCAAGCATTCGAGACCCACGAGACAGATGCAAAAAAAGTGAGATTCATCATGCTCTTTGTATTGTCCTCTGGCTTTTGCACCTTTTGGGGGTCACGTGCAAACTTGTTCTCTGCAACCATGTGCTAAAAGCCGAGTGTTCTGCTCACCTGACTTCAGCGTCCAAAGGCTTACGACAAACCATGAACACACAAGACTTGCCATACAATCACGAGAGGGTTTTGCCACGAGTCTCATGATAATTAGTGTTTTCTTTAAAGCCCCAGCTCTTGGAGTCAAGTGGGTAGGTGGTGATTTCAGCCTGGTTTCTTACAGAAACAAGGGCTAGAAAAAAAAAGCTTCAGAACGTGACCCTCGTGCACCCGAAAGGCTCAAAAAGCAGGAGGCCAACAAACACCAAATCTATTATTTTTACACCATCTTGTGATTTTTAAAGCCAATCTCATGATTTTTGTCAGCCTGATTTCTGGTTTCTGAACATTTGGGGTTAGCAATATGGACTTGATTTAGCTAGGGGTTGGTCCCGCTTTGAGCAGGGGGTGGGACTAGATGACCTCCTGAGGTCCCTTCCAAGCCTGAGATTCTAGGATTCTATTACTCGGGACCCTCCCTGCTTTGCCACCCTGGGCACCCTGAACTGGGGAGTCCAACCAAGCTGAGTAGGGTGGGACTTGGTCCAGGGTAAGAATTTTTTCTCAATTCCCCCCAACTCAAGTCCTTGGGACTTTTTTTTTGCTTTTTTGGGATAGCGTCAAATGATTTGATTTGAAAACTAGAATGAAAATACAAGTACATTTTCGTTTTTGTTTAAGCCTCTCTCTTACGGAAGCTGCATTTCAGCTCTCCTGTGTGTGGCATGTGCGTGATTGCCTTTCAAATGAACAAGGAGTTAGGTCAGGCTAGTGTCCATCGGTGGTGACTCCTTGGAACTGGCTGGGTGGGGTCCAACCTTGTGGCATTAATGGATTATTTTCACTCAGTGCCCCAGAGGAGGGCAGTAATAATAAACAGCCCTCTCCAAGTCAGCAAGAATATGCTCTTCATGCACACGCAGTGTCAGTAGACCTTTCCTATTGTAGCACCCAGCTGATCCCTCTGCCCGTGGGCAAGAATCCCCATAATCGGAGTATCTAATCCCCTTTGCACACTCATTTCCATTGCACAGACATCTCAGACCACATGTGCACCTACATGATATGGCGGATTTATACTGAAAGGGTTGGAGCCAGGCAGGGCCGGCCTTAGGGGTGGGCCACCTGGGTGACTGCCCAGGGCACCGGTAATCTAGGAGGGGGGGGGGGGGTGCAGCAGCGTAGAGGTGCACGCTGCCAGCGTTGAATCAGAAACTGCTCCTGGCTGGCAGGGCAGCAGCCAGATTTCTCCCGGCTCCCTCCCAGCCGAGGAACATGGGGGAGGGGGGAGGCAAGCAGTGACGCACACTTACTGCTCACCCCCCCACCCCAAAGTTTCTCCATGCCCCCCTAGGGGTGCAGGGGTTAGGGATGAAGGGTTGGGGATGCGGGGAGCTGGAGGAGCACACAGGGGCTAGGAGCGCCAAAATACAAGTTCGCCCAGGGTGCCATTTCCCCAGGGAGCCAGGAGTACCGAAGAAGGTGCAGAGCTGAGAGCAGACGAAGGATGTGAAGGGAGCAGCGAGGCTGGCATCAGGAGAAAGCAAAGCTCACCGGGGGCTCAGCCCCAGGGCTAGTCGAATGTTGTCCATCAAAACAGTCTTTCATCGGAAAACTGGGTTTCCAATAAAACAAGATTTTCCATGGTAACCTTTTAGTTTTCACCCAAAACTGTGAGGACGTTTGTTGGTTTGCTTACAAAAAGTCAACATTTTCTGTGGAAAAAATTGACAGAAAACATTGGGGGGGGGGCGAGAGAGTGGGGAGGGCTTTTTAAGATTTCAGTAGGAAAAAAATAACCCATTTTCCAACCAGGAGTACTCAGCACCCTGAAGGATCAGGCCTACTACAAGTGTGGGCTCCCATGGAAAACAACAGCAAAACTTTCAGTAAGTGCAGAATCAGGTCCTTAGCATAAGAATAAGGGAGCTATCAGTATAAATTCTTAAAAAAGAAATTGAGAATGGCCTGGAGACAAATTAGACAGGAAGAGGTTCACTCCGGCCTCCCTCTGGCTCCAGTCTGGGAGGAACATGTTTTGCATGTCACAGCTCTGGAAATGCCTGACACCTTCACACTTCGAATTTCAAAGGGATGCTATTTCCACACCATGGGAAAACACTACGGTTTATTTTTAACTTGTTATGATAGCCAGCAGAGTAGTAACACACTCTCTTTCTCTCTCTCTCTCACACACACACACACACTTCAGTCTCTCCATAGTATGTATGTGCCAACATCTGTATGAACTGAAAATAAACTGGTTTCAGAGTAGCAGCTGTGTTAGTCTGTATCCGCAAAAAGAAAAGGAGGACTTGTGGCACCTTAGAGACTAACCAATTTATTTGAGCGTAAGCTTTCGTGAGCTACAGCTCACTTCATCGGATGCATTCAGTGGAAAATGCATCCGATGAAGTGAGCTGTAGCTCACGAAAGCTTACGCTCAAATAAATTGGTTAGTCTCTAAGGTGCCACAAGTCCTCCTTTTCTTTTTTGAAAATAAACTATGACTTGTACCCCCAACCATGCAAAACATGGGCCCAATCCTGCAGGTCTTCCATGCACTGGGTATCTATCCAGTTTAGGGGGAGTTCCACACAGGACAGCTTGCAAAATCAAGACTAGAGAATTATAGTACTTTGATTTTTCTGACAGGCCAATGTGATGGACAATAAGACACAAAAGAGGAATCTCTTATGTTTATAGAGTGCTACCATTCCAAGGAATCATAACTATAGCTGGGTAAAAAAATTTCAGTGAATAGTAAATTTTCCATAAGATGCATTTTTCAGGGCACTGAAACTGAAGAATTCTATCCAAATTTATGAGAAAGTTTCAGATGAAAAAAAGAACAAAAAATATTAAAATGGTTTGTTTCAGCCATTTAGAGATGAAAAGTTTTGATTTTCATTTTGAAACTTAGGGTATTTTGCATCCTTTAAATTGAGCTAACAGAAAATGTAAAAATGGGGGGGGGAAGCGCATCATTTTGGGTTGAACAAAGCATTTTGTTAGACTCAAAAGGGTGAGATAGCCCCCCCAGAAAAATCAGTTTTGGTTTAACCGAATTATTTTTCATTTCATCCCCTGAACTGAAAAAAGTCAATTATTCACGCAACAATAATCACAGCAAACTTTCTGAACTTATATGTATGAACCACTTCGCCCGACACTGAAATGCTGTCATTTCCCGGGTAGAAGTGGCCGCTGCTTCACGGAGCATACCAACAGTTCAGAATAGTTTTGAAGAGGAAGTGGTACACACCTAATACCACAAGGGGACAGGAATAGTGTGGCTGGATGTTTCATCTGTAAGATTTCAGAGTAACAGCCGTGTTAGTCTGTATTCGCAAAAAGAACAGGAGGACTTGTGGCACCTTAGAGACTAACCAATTTATTTGAGCATGAGCTTTCGTGAGCTACAGCTCACTTCATCTGTAAGACAAATCCAGCCAGGGGAGCTAGAACTAGGGGTGCTTCCGCACCCCTGGCTTGAAGTAGTAATAACAAACATCAAATACAGAGTGGGCTTTGGATCAGGCCCTGAATAAGGGTGAGAGTCAGATGGAGAAGAGGACGAGGGTTACAGCAGTAAGATCCCACTGTGACTCACTTTCAGCGTATACCACTCTGGATGGTTCTCTTATGGTTTTTTCTATAGCAATAACAAAATTAAGGAAGATGATACAAACCACTGACTAATGTTAACTGCTCATAGGAAACAAGTCATGTATAAACAAACAAAATCTTTCTCTAGCTTCCCATTTGGCCAGCTGACTGCAAAAAACACAGTACAATCTCGACTAGCAACGGATGCGCATGGGAGGCCCAGGACTGGAATAGCAGGGGCTGTGTGTGAGAGGAGGAAGCGAACCCTGCATAAATCTGTCAACTCAGTCCCTCATTTTCATATGCACTAAATATACACTAAATTCACACAAATCTTTGCAAAGCAGCAATCCTGCTTTGCACTTACTGCAGCAGTGAACCATCTATCAGAGGATTTCCAAGCACTTCACAAACACTAGAGAAATAAGCCACATAACTCTAGTCTATCCATTACACAATTGGGTAAATGGAGAGACAGAACCATTAAACAACAGGCACAAGTCTTTAGTCCTATTCTCTATAGATCCTTATACCACACTCATCGCCGTAAGCAGTGTTGCCAACTCTCATGATAATTAGTATTTTCCTTAAAGCCCCAGCTCCTGGAGCCAAGTGGATACGTGAGGATTTCAGCCTTGTTTCTTAAAGAACAAGTAAGTTTCTAGCCCTGGTGGCTGTGGAGAAAGCTTCAAAATGTGACCCCAGTGCACCCTAAAGGATCAAAAAGCAGAAGGCAAATAACAAGAACATCAAATCTACTATTACTACATACTGTAATCTCACGATTTGAGGTGAGCCTGACTCCTGATTTTTGAACATTTGGGGCTGGCAACAGTGCTGTAATATTGGCGTGTTTTCCCTTTGTTGCTGAGGAGATGCACTGCAGCTCTCTGCATCTCTTGGAGTACCTCCAAAGTGTTAGGAGCTGGTCACCGACCACAGCTTTACTCAGTAAGCCAGGTATCCCAGGA